CCAACATTGAGATGCATCGTAAGAAACTGAAAGCATCATGACTTGAATCAGGTGTGCCTTAGTCTTTAAATTAACATCATTGCTCTTTAGCACTTTGGAGAGATCCATGACAGCACATCTTTTGATTTCTTGACGGCTACTACCATGACGGGTGCTGATGGTGGTTGAAGTAAAATGAAATCAATGGCAGCTTGAATCTTTTTCTCTGACTGTCGTGATGATGTCTGTTGACCCAGTGGTGAGGCTTTTTTGAATTTTCTTTGATCTGCTGCGAGGCTTCCAGTCTTCTTCACTTTCAGCAAGCAAGGTTGTGTCATCTGCATAACGTCAACTGTTGATGCCACAGTCTTCATGAAGTCCAGCTTCTCCAGTGATTTGCTCAGGCTCCCTTTCCACTTCACATTACTAGGAGAAGAGAATGATAGAATGTGAATAAATGGGGTACATTTCTTCTTCTTATTTGGACTTTTGTTTTGCCTTTGAACAATATTTGCCCCTAAAATTCTGAACGTTGCCTTCATACTTGTTTAGAGTCTTCATTTGACTAGCAGGTGTAGTGTGCATCATTCTGGCCCACTTTCTGGTCTGTACCTGATGAAGACTGAAGGGTGTGTCTTATTCACACCCACACAGGGTTAAGTCTGCCCAGATGCTTGCCCTGGGTCTGCAAGCGGCTTTGGGCACAGCCTCCTCTCTGTCCTGGAGGGGCTAGTGGGTCCTAGGTGCTGACCCACTGTGCCACTAGGCAGCTTTGAAGTGCCCTACAAGCACAGCAGACCTGTTAGTGTAACAGTCCAGTAAAGCTCATGGGCACTTGGGAGATGTCGTATATGCCAGAGAGTTTTAAAACTCTCTTCTTGCAGTTTACGATTTAAGCAACTTCCTGCTCAGGGAATCTTGTGGCTAGGAGAGGTGAAACCCTACCTGACATGAGAAGTGGGCAGAGTGTAAGGTAGCAGGAGGGGAGCTGTCATGCATCCCGGTGGGACCCAAACGGATAGAGAAGCTTAGGCTCATGTACTGTAGTCATGTGGCTACAGTTGAGGCCAGTCCTTGGAGAAAGAGACCCCATGCTTGGAAAAGTGGAGGGTCATCAAAGGAGAGGAGGTCCCCGTACGAGGTGGATTGATACAGGGACTTAAGCAGTGGGCTCCAGTGTGTCAGAAATGATGTGGACGGCATGGGCTGGGGCAGGGTTTAGGTCAGCTGTTCCAGGGTCACCCTGAGTCATACTCCACAGCACCTAACACCACCACCACCAGAATGGATTTAAAAACAGCCACTTCTGAAGTTAAGACCACCCAAAGAACTAGCTGGTAGGGCAGAGTTTATTCTTTTACTCACCTGACAAATCCTGACTGAGTGCAGGGCACCTATGTAAGTCTCAGCACAGGGTGCCCTCACTGATGCAGCTGCCTTGTCATTCTTCCAGGAGGGACTTGGGTGCTGGGCTTGGATGCACTGGTGCTTAGCAGCCCAGCATCAGACCACTGTGCCACCAGGTTCCTCTGTAAGTGCTTCATGACGTTGCCCAGGTTCCTCCACTGAGGCTTGGATTCTCACAAGACCGTCGGTAGTTGTAAATAAATGTGACAGTCTGTACAGAAAAGAGTTCCTGGCACTGCCGTGTGGTTACAACAGGTCTATAAACTAGAAGGTCGGTAGTTCAAACCTGCTTCATGGCTCCAGAGAAGGACCTGCTGATCCCAGTGAACACTACAGCCTAGGGGACGTGTGGGCCAGCTCTGCTGCCACATGGGTCACTGTGGAAGTAGCCCGGTGACACTCAGCAACAAGTGTGTAGAAGGTAACGGGCTGTAGGAGGAAAGATTTTACAGGGGCTTGACATCAAAATGGACAGAGCTTGAGAAGAGTCATGCTGACGTGGAGGTGAGGCAGAGGTGAGCACAGTCCTGGGGTCCAGCCAGGAGGAGGTCCTGAGGTTCCTCTTGGATGTTGACTGCCTAGGACCAGGCCAAGAAGAGGCCCTACGTTTGCACTGACCGCCTAGGACCGCACTCTGACCACTGGGGGCCCGGCTGGAAAGAGGCTCTGAGTTGGCACTGACTGTGTGGGGCCCAGATGGGAGGAAGTCCTGAGGCTGGCTGCTCTTGCATGCTGACCACCTGGGGCCTGGCCAGGAGGAAGTCCTAGGGCTGCACTCTGACGCTGACCACCTGGGGCCTGGCCGGGAGGAGGCCCTGACTCTTCATGCTCGGGGACCTGGGGGGAAGGATGATGACAAGTGGCTTTTAGCCCTGTGGACAGACACCCTCAGACACTACCAGCCCCTCCAGGACACCAGAAGCCACTCAGAGTGACCTATGGTTTGTCCATCCTGCAGTTGCTGTAAGGAAATCTGTCCTTTCTAAGGAGCTTCAGTGGTTGGGGGTTTGAAGTCATTCCCTTCTGTAGGAGAAATCTGTGGCAGGTCACTGCTGTGTAGACAACAGCATTGGAGTTCTGAAGGCTGGTTCCACTCTGCCCGCAGGACCACTCTAAGTCTGAATTGGTTTGATGGCCAGAGGTCTGGCTGGCTTTTTCCTCTTCGTTTAGATTTCTTACCCAAGGCACTCTGTTGGCACCGTAGTTAAAGTGTTTTGGCTGCTGACTAACTTGACTGAGCTGGCAGTTCAGACACACCTGCGTGAGCTTTGGCAGCTTCTGTTGAGATGACAGCGTGGGAATCCTCCTGCCCGGTCAGGCCCCTTTCTGTCAGAATGAGCTCAGCAACTGTCCAAACTCAAAACACAAACACAGTTCTGTGGAGTCAGAACTGACCCATAGCTGCCAAGAGGGGATTTTGCTTATCTTTCTCCCCAAGAGCAGCTGGTGGATTTGAACCACTTGCTTTGAGTTGGCAGTACAGCTCCTCACCTACTAAGCCACCAGAGTGCCCTTGTATTTCCAAAGGGGAGGGTAAGGAGCATCATCCTTGGTGAGAACTGCCAGGATCCCTCCCCAGCAGGCAGGGCTGCACTGGGCTCAGCTCACCTCCACCTGGGAGGACCTGTGGGGCAGAACAGTTCCTTTTCCACCTCAAGCCCTGGAAGCCAGCTCAAGCCAGAGCTCTGGCCTTGGTTTCTTCTGGGTGATGATGACCATCCTGTGCTTCCCACAACTACCTTCGAGAGCTACGTTCTGTTCTTTCTGGTGACCTCTCTCATCTCTCTCCTAAGGTATGGACACAGTGCTGGTGAGGCCACACATGACGCTGTGGACTCTGCCCTCAATGTGGGTGTCACAGCCTACAACATTGACAACATTGGCCTCAAAGCCATGGTGAAGAATACAGCCAAGCAGACCGGGCACAGCCTCCTGGAGGACTACAAGATCGTTGACGGTGCACGCGGTGGGAGCCCGGGTCAGAAGGAAGGGCAGCTGGAGAGGGAGGGCTCCGAGGAGGAGCTGAGAAAGAAGACGAAGAAGAAGGGGAAGTGACAGTGACAGGCTGCGAGCTAGAGCCTCCGAAGACTGTTCAGTGCTGGTGACGTCTTCCCAGGGGACCCAGGGTTTATAAAAGTATTCATTCCTCTGACTGCCTAGTTTTGCATTTGGCCTTGAGACACATATAGCTGTGTTCTATGTGAGTGAGTTTTTCCCCCAAATGCAGCTAAAATATTTTTGCAGTTAAAAAAAGTTATTGCATCTCATTAAACCTAACATGAAACTATTTTTGTACCTCATATCTTTTGAAGATCAAAGTTAGAACATAAATATTTGCATCATAATATGTGGCACTTTTAGCCTCCATTTCAAGAGCCATGGTGGCACAGTGGTAAAAGCGCTGGCTTACCAAACGTACAGTCATGGACTTAACCGATGAGTGGCCGTTTGCTTCCATGAGTGCGGCAGCCCTGTGGCCTTGGCTGTCAGCTCTCCCTTATCTGGCCTCTGAGCTGATGGTATGGCCATAGGGCTGGTTTGGGGTTTGCTTAAGGTGTGTGTTACATGTATTAGAAAAGAATGGCTTAAAACAACACTCCCTCTAACTTTTTTAAGGGGCTCACCAGTGTGAATTCTCTGTGTGAGCGGATAGAATGCTCACGTCTGAAAAGGCTTCTTCAGTGCTGGGAGTGGACTGACTAAAAAACACAAGAAAGGTTTGTTACAGGCAGCTTACTTCTGGGAGTGAAATTGTGAAAATTTATTTTTTTTAAGATCTGTGTTTTAAAAATAGGATTGATTTATCAGGAGTCTAGGTAAGAAATTTGGAGGCTTAATTGCACAGGAAAAAAAACACGAGTATTTTAACAAATTATTTTCCCATTCTCTTCTGTAGGTTTTTTCCAAAATTCTAAAACTTTATAAACACTAAAATACATACAGAATTGAGTGTACTGGTGGTTGAACAAGACTTTGTTTGGGTTTGCAGTCTCCGGATGTTCTTTATATATTAAATTGATAAACTATTTGAAAGATTGCATTCCTAACCAGTGAGATGCGGAAGAGCGTCAGTCCCTGGTTCTCACTGTGACCAATGACCGCTGTCCACAGACCCATAAGCTATAATGAAACGGTTCTGACACACACCAGTGAGTTACTTTTTAATAAGCTTTTGTTATAGAATGGTGTTTACTGGTTTAAAAAGGTTTGCTTCTCACAGCTTTTTCTAAACATTTCTGATTCTGAGTTTGACTTTGAAACGATTCAAAAACTGCACTTTGTGAATAAACGCTGTCTCCTACTCACGTAGCCTCCGGTGTGTTCATGGCTGGTGTCTAGGGAAATAGTCAAATGAGTCGAGCCCTTTTATATGACCAAGGAAAATGTGCTATTAAGATAGAAATAAAATTGAATTGATAAAGCAGCTTTCATTTAGTCCTCTGCACCTGCATCAGGAAACTGGATCCTGGGGCAAGTCCAGCTGGCTGCCTATTGTTTTAAAATAAAGCTTTATTGGCAGGCAGTGTGTCTATTCTTTTATATTGATGTTGCTAAAAGCTTTATTGTTTCTATTTATTTGATCCAAGGCGTGGGCAAAAGGCTTCTGAGTAAATAAGATTCTGCCCCAGACTGGGAAGGAGATGCAAAATTGTCCCCACAGGTCCATCCGCATAGGCTTCTAATTGTGCTTGAGGTTGAGTCACTTGAAGAGATTCTCGCCCATCCTGGCCTGTAATTCTTCCTCATCCAGGAAGCAGTTCTCCAGAAAGTCACACAGAAATGAGGGTCTGTGTGGGCAGAAACCAGGTGTGCAGATCCAGAAAGGCCTGGATCAGTTTCTTCTCCAAGGCCAAGGCAGCTACTGTGGAATCCAAGGTCCTTCCCCTCTCATCCTGGAATGACTTCCATCTATAATGGAAGGGAACACGGCTGCCACGCTGGTTTTGCACCTTTAAGAGACTCTCGGCATCCTCATGCTTCTCCTTTGCCAGTTTGCAGAAAATGTTCTATACCTTCCAAGGCCAAAATAAAAACCCAGAGAGAGGCAGATGTAGGAGGTCTGCATGGGCAGGTTGACCAGACAGTTGGTGCTGGCATCCTCTTCAGATGGGCCTGAGAGCTTATCGTTGGCCAAGGGTTTGAGGCTAACAACAAAAACAACAGTGTTAACTGGTCCCAAAGACAGGAGGTGGGTAAGGGGATGGTCCTGAGGTTATACCTAGAGATGAGGTTGGAGGGCAGGTGGAGGTTGGAGGTGAGAAGTCACCAGTTCTATTTCATGTAAGCACTGTTGAACCAAAGACAGATCCACAGGACTGCGGGGGACTCTCCTAAAGTGCTTGCCTTTTCCTGAAGAAATTTTTTTTTTTTAATTTTACTATTTTTTGTGCATGTACCATCAAATCAGATCTGACTGGTACAGGAGGAAATTGTCCCTCCTTTTCCGGCAGAGCATCTGGTGGATTCGAACCGTGTACCTTTGGGATTGCAGTACAGCTTCTTTCCACTAGGCCACCAGAGCTCCCCTTCCTGAAGGAAATTGACTGACTTCTGCCAGAGATTAAAGGAAATGTTTTCTCAGTTCTGCTGGGTCACTATGAGGTAGCATCTTCTAGAGATTTTTAAAAATCTTGTGTAATATAGAAACCATAACTGCCACCCAACAAATGGATGGATAGAGAAGCTCTGGTATATTCACACAATGGAATACTGTGCAGCAGTGAAAACCAAAGAACTCATGAAATAAGTAACCCTGGAGGACATAATGCTGGGTGAAATATTTCAGTCACAAAGGGACAAATACTACATAATGTCATTGTTGTAAAGCAAATATCTTGTGTAACAGTTGCTAGATGGACTGGCACGGGCTGCACCTATAGGCTGAGGCCTAGTGGCCACCGTGTAAATAGCACAGGGCAGGGCTCTATGGCATTCACAGCAGTAGTCACCGCAACGGATGGAAAACAGTGTACAGCATTTAAGGGTGTAGCATGTTCCATTTACCACCAGTCAACTCACCAGCCAGTAGTAGATGCAGAAGGATGGGGTTCCTATGTGCTTGACTGCACCTTCTCTTCCCCTGCTATAATTGTTCTTCAGCTTTCTAAAACTAGAGATGCATGTAACTAAATGACATTATGTTTTCTCATTCTGAAATTGACAGTTACAGCCTCATGCAAAACTTATACTTGCACCAGGAAGCTGTCCTCAGAACAGAGCAAGGAAATACTACATGGTTCAAAATCAGGAAAGGATGGTTCGAATTCACCAGATACTCTGCCAGGGAAGGAGGGACAATCTCCTCTTGTACCAGTCAGATCTGATTTGATGGTACACTCACACAAAAATAATAAAATTTAAAAAAAAATCAGGAAAGGAGTGTGTCAGGGATGCATCCTGTCTCCATACCTTTTCGATCTGTATGCAGGTTAGATCATTAAGGCGGCTGAACTTTATGAGGAGGAATGTGGAATCAGGATTGGAGGAAGACTCATCAACAACCTGCATTATGCAAATGACAAAACTTTGCTGAAACAGAGGACCTGAAGCATTTGCTGCAGAAGGTCAAAGATGGTAGTTTTCAGTATGAATTGAACCTGAATATCAAGAAAACAGATTCACACCACTGGGAAAATTGATAGCACCATGATGGTGGTGGTGGTGTTATGTGCCGTCGAGTCGCCTGCGACTCATAGCGACCCTATGTACAATAGCCCTAAACTTTGCTCTGTCCTGTGCCAATCGCACTGTCTCTGACACTCCCAATCCCAATTATCCCAGTCACTGAATCAATCCACCTCATAGAGGGCCTTCCTCTCCTGCGCTGTCCCTCCACCCTCCCAAGCATGATGTCCCTCT